GCTGGGGGGAGGGGATAGAGGAGAGAGATTACAGATACACAGCCTCTCTCCCCTGGATCGGCTCCGAAGTCGAATTCAGTCACCGTCCCTGTCCCCCCCCGGACCAAACTGTGAACATCTGTTGGGTCAGGGGCTTCACTGTATTTCATGGTGCTTTCTGTGAAGCACCATGAGTTACAGTGGCAAGCTGCACATCTCATAACACATGTCCCCTCTGAACCTTGCCAGTTGCTGAACTATAGAGACGGCTCTAATGGGTTCTCCCCACACTGGATCAGAATTGTAACAGCATCTGGTACAAATTCTTACAGTTCATGCAGAACTAGCATTTCCCAACCCCTTTGTAATCTCCACAAGTTATCTTTACCAGGGTCTCAGGCCTCTGGCCACCCTCTTTCTCAGGACAAGTTCCTACAATTGGTTCCCTCCAAACGTGGGTTCTGGGCTGCAGGCTCCTCCAGTTTTTGTGACTGCTAACACATTTGACTTCAGTTCCCCACCTGCAGTCCTGTTCTCTTAAGGGAAAGGAATAAGGTTAACCAGTGACCAGCCAACTTTCATTAAAACTAAATATTATTTATTCAGAAAAAAGCATTTTGGAGAAAATGCAACCTAAAACAATAAGCAATTTGTACGCTTGTATAACGTAGCTGGTAGGTAACCATCTTTTATATCATAGTACTTAGGGTCAGAAGGGATCTAAACAGATCATCAGGTCTGACACCCCCCCCCCCCCACCAGAGCGCCCCCCCCCCCCCCCCCCCCAAAAAAAAAAAAAAAAAATTCTGGGATGTGGGGGCCCAGCCAGGAGTCTGGGCACACACCCGGGCTTGAACTTGCAACTGTTTGGCCCTGGAGTCAGCACACACCCCCCTAGGCAGACAAATGGAGGCTCTGGCATGTGGAGGGGCCTCTGGCAATATGGAGGGTCTGGCATGTGGAGGGGCCTGTTATTAGTTCTTGGTTCTAAAGTCTCTCCCTCCCCACGATTGGGCTGTCATGTTACACAGTTTCAAGTCTTTTCTCATCTTAGTTGTCTTGAACCAAGTCAAGCCAGGCTGTCTAACCTCTTAAGAGGAATATTCAGGACTGGGGATTTTCATGAATTATCCTCCAGGAGAGGGGAAGTAGGATTTTTTTCAGATCTCTTAAAAGAGATTGAATGTCTCATAACCTTGCCTTTTGCTTCCAATACTGAAAGTGCAACATTAGGAAATGGATTTGGACCTTACAATCTGACTTACCTTTATAGTCCAGTCATCTACTAGCTGGTGACTCAGTAACACTCACCCAAAGCTCTGTGGGTGAAAGCAAGAACAGAATTTGACCCAAGAAGCCAGGGTCATGTGGTTGAGATGCTGGATTGAGACTCATTAAATTTTAATTACTTTCCCTGCTCTGTCACAAACTTCTGTATGATTTGAGGCAAGTCACTTAACCATTCTACACTTCAGGTTCCCATCCTTAACATGGGAATAATGTTACTACCTCCCAGAGAGACTGGGAGCAGAAATTTATTGCTGTTTGTAAGGTGATGAGATCCAATGGTAGTCTGGGCCATTAGAAAAGATGCTTGCTTTTCTGTGTGTCTGTATACATACAAAGAACTTCAGCAGATTGGCACTCCAGGTGCACAATATGCTGCCTTGCTTCAGCCCTGTGATTTGAAGGGGATGTGGCTTCATAGGACCCTCTGTTTAAGGAGCTCCTTAAATATGACTTAATGGTAGGTGTGAAGCAGTGGGAAGATTTCATGTTTGTGTGTGGCATTGTAGATGACCCAGTGGTATCTCCTCAAATGGCTTTGATTATTTTTCAGTCTGCAGTTTTGTGGGCAAATTTGTATAGCTATCTAGATGGAAAAGAGAGACTGCTGGTGATCACTGATCACTGAATGTACACTGCCAGAGCAGATAAAGGAAGTCTTGGGACAGGCAGGAAGCCCCACGTTGCTTTATGTACTGACCAGTTCATTGCTACAGCTGCTCTGCATGCCAAGGACATATGGGGTACCTATAGATGTGTTCATTCACATTCTAATTAGGACGTAGTTGTGGACTCGATTATTTGAGTCCTCTCTGCATTTTAATTAGAATGCTCCAGCGTTGGCTTCCTGCCATGTATATTTAGCCCCCACACATTTCAAAATGGCCGCAGGGGTGCTTTATCTAAATCTTATCGAATGAGCTTTAGATAAGGATCCCGCAGCCTTTT